CCCCAACACCCTATCCAGGGAGGAGACCGCCCCCAGAGAGGAGCCCGCCCCCGACCTATCCGGGGAGGAGTCCTCCCCCATCCGGGACTCCCAGATGGGAGCCCCGCCCCCAGACAGGAGCCCCGCCCCCGCCCTATCCAGGGAGCAGCCCGCCCCCTGCAGGAGCCGCACGCGGGGCGGGCGCGCTACTTGCAGGTGTGCACGTCGTAGACACGCGAGCACTCCTGGCAGCTCACATAGCAACACCAGTGGAAGACGCAGTGGCACTTCTCGCGGCGCCGCTCAGTGCGCGCGTTGTGGCCGCGGCCGCAGCACAGCAGGTCGCAGCCGTCGATGCCGTGCGAGCTCACGTTGCAGGTGCGGTCGCGGGTACCGAATGAGCCGGTCTCGGGGTTGGGCTCGCAGAAGTTGGGCGAGGCCTCGTAGTAGACTAGGTCGCGGTCCGTGGGCACCTTGAAGTAGGTGTAGCGCGGCCGCAGGGTCTCCACCCACCCGCGCGACTCGCGGTGCTTCTCCACCACCATCTCCGAGGCGCTGTCGTACTTGTCTTTGAGGAAGTCGCCAATGGCGCGGAAGTCGGGCTGCGACCACCAGCAGGTCTTCACCTCGCAGCTGCCCGACAGCCCGTGACATTTGCACTTGAGGTGCATGTGGCTGGCGATGGCCTGCAGGAGCGCGCCAATGAGGGGCATCAGGGCCCGCCCAGTGCAGCTAGTGTGTGCTGGGGGGGAGGGGGGCTCTCCCTCCCTTCCCCGGGGCTGTGCTCTTGGCCTGTGGTCCCCCTGCCCCATGTTCTCCTGGCAAACTCAGTGCAACCTGTCTGTTCCATAAAGTCCCCTCTCCAGTGCCACCTCTTGAGCCAATGCCTCCCCTGGCCGACCCAAGATCACCGGAGGGCACCTCCGGTGCCTGACAGCTTCACCTCTCTCCTTGGCTGTGTCTTATGACTGGGGGAGGGAGGGAGGGAAGGGACGGAGAGTAATGATCAGGTTCAGGCATGCAGGAGGGAGGACATTAATTCTGACCTGGAGAACCCAAAACCGCAGCCCAGAGGACGTGTACATGGCCTGGTGGCAAAGCTGGGGGCTGAACTGAGCGCGGATAATGGGAGTGGCTTGAGCAGAGCCCCTTCAGGGCCCAGAAAACTGGATTTATGGGGCTGTAAGGGAATAGGAAGAGGAGGGACGTAGTGCAGGGGGACAAGGCTGGGGGATCTGGGGGTCTTGAGGAATGTGTTTCTTTCCTTCTCTCTTTTTATTTTTATTAAAAAATTTTTAAGTGTATTTATTTATTTTGAGAGACAGAGAGAACGAACAGGGCAGGGGCAGAGAGAGGGAGAGAGAGATCCCAAGCTGGCTCCACATTGTCAGTGTACAGCCCCATGTGGGGCTCGAACTCACCAACCATGAGATTATGACCTGAGCCAAAACCAAGAGTTGCTTACTTAACCGACTGAGCCACCCAGGTGCCCCTCTTTCCTTCTCTCTTTGAGGGAAGGGATGGGATTGGGGGTGAAGGGGCCTGTGACTTAATCCAAACTAAGGTTGCACTGCCCACTGTGGTGGGCACCTGCCACCTGTGAGCCCTTGAGATGTGGCCAGTCCACAGTGTGGTGTGCTGTATATACAAACCAGATGCTGGCTTGCACAGAGTCCCCAGGCTTCATGCAAGAAAAGTACATAAAATATCCCCTTCACTATTTTAATATTGATTGTGACCATTATGGCACTGATAACACGTTGGTTGATATACTGGCCTTAATAAAATTTCATGGTAAAACTAATGCCACTTGCTTCCTCTTTAAATGTGGCTACTAGAAAATGCATAAGTATGTATGTGAGTCCCATCATACTCCTGTTGGACAGTGTAGGCTGGGCTCTGTGTCCATATGCGAGTCCCATTATACTCCTGCTGGACAGTGTAAGGTGGGCTCTGTGTCTGTACATGAGTCCTGTTATATTCCTGTTGGGCAGTGTAAGGTGAGCTCTGTGTCCAGATGCTGCCTGCACCCCGTCCCCCTCACCTACACTTCCCTCTCATACTGGCCCTTTCCGGGGGTATCTGTAATGACTGCATCCCTCCTCTCAGTTAATTTCTGTCTCATCTCCATTTTCTTCTTTTCTCCAGAGACCTCTTCAGTCTCTTTAATTTTAATTTTGTCAAAGTTATACATGCATATACTTTAAAGAGACCAAGAGTTCCTGAGACTTGCTCCCACGACCATGCACACACAGCACCTGACTGACCGGCCAAGGCAACAACTTGTGCATCTTGCATCTCTAATAGAATGTTTGCTTGCTACTCCTTGAGTTTGGGGGGTTCGGCAATGTCTCCCCTCTCACCATGGAGGGTGGGAAGTCAGCTCTTTATCATCAACCCAAACATGCCAATGCACATCTCCCCAGCCCTCTCCACCCCAAAAAACTAAAGCAGAATCCAGTTACATGGATATCGAGTGCTGATGCTATTGGAACTGTGTTCAATGTCATACCCAGCTGAGCCCTGTTATAGGGCATGATTACTTTTTCTTTCCTACAAAACTTTCTTGTTGCTGTTTTTAATGTACTTATCACGGATTCAGAGTCAGACTCTCCCCAAACTGTGTAAATATTCTCTTCAAGATGTTCAAACATATCATGTATTCTAAGATTTCAGCTTCTCGGAGACATCTCTTTGAGAGACCTTCTGGTAAATTTTGTGAAATGTGCATGTCTGAAAACACAGTTTTTCTACTTGAAAAGTTGACAGGATGGTTTAGCTGGGTATAAAATTCTTGGTTTACAATATTATTTCCCTTCCGAACTCTGAAAGCAGCACTCCATTTTTATTCCAGCTTCCATTGTTCTTCTTGGAAATTCCAATGCCATTTTGATTCCCAATCCTTTGCATGAAACCCAAGGCTTGGAGGGCTTCTCTGTCATGGGCTGTGAACTTCAAAACGCTAGGTCTTGGTATGGGTCTCCTCTTTCATATGCCAGTCACTTATTTGGGCTGTTTGGTCTGAAACTTGTGATCTTCAGTCCTGAGAACCTTCCTGCCTTCTTTGCTGATTTCTTCTTCATGTTCACCATTGACTGTCTCTGACAGAACCTCCATATTCTCCATTCTTTCCTATTTTCCATCTCTTTGTTATTTTCTTCTACTTTATAGAAGGGTGTCTCAAGTATCTGCCAACCTTTCTGCTGGGATATTTGTTTCTGCTATCCTACTTTCAATTTCTAGTGGCATTTTTTCCTTCTCTGAATATTCTTTTAATTTGACATCCTGTTCCAATTTTATGGGACAGTATTTTATATCTCTGGGTATAGTGGTTTTTTTTTTTAACTCTTTTCTTTCTTTTTTAAAACAGTGTTTATTTATTAGGAGAAAGAGAGAGAGAGTGCAAGTGAGGGAGGGGCAGAGAGAGAGGGAGAGAGAGAATGCCAAGCAGGCTCCATATTCAGTGTAGAGGCTGACTCAGGGCTCAATCCCACAACATGATCCTGAGATCATGACCTGAGCCAAAATCAAGAGTCAGACACTTAACCGACTGAGCCACCCAGGTGTCCCTAAAATTGTTTCAATTTTTTTTTAAATTTTTAAAATATAAAAACAGGGAGGGGGACAAAACATAAGAGACTCTTAAATATGGAGAATAAATAGAGGGTTACTTGAGGGGTTGTGGGGGGGGATGGGCTAAATGGGTAAGGGGCATTAAGGAATCTACTCCTGAAATCACTGTTGCACTACATGCTAACTAACTTGGATGTAAATTAAAAAAAAATAAGTTAAATAGAAAATATATAATCTTCTCACCCAACATGGAGCTCGGACTCATGACCCTGAGATCAAGAGTTGCATGCTTTACCGACTGAGCCAGCCAGGTGCCTGAAATAGTGGTAGTTTTGAAGTTTTCATCTCTCTTTACAATGTCTCTTTCCCATAAGTTTTGTTTTTGTTTGTTTTGGTCTTTAACTTTGTGGTTACAGGAGGCCTTCCTCAGATGTCCTGTGATCCTTGGATGTCTGCTCATATTTAAAAGCAGGATACCAGGGGCCCCTAGGTGGCTTAGTTGGTTAAGCACCTGATTTGGCTCAAGTCATGATCACAGCTTGTGTGTTCAAGCCCTGTGTTGGGCTCTGTGCTGACAGCTCAGAGCCTGGAGCCTGCTTTGGATTTTTTTGTCTCCCTCTTTCTCTGCCCTCCCCCACTCATGCTCTGTCTCTCTCTTTCTCAAAAATAAATAGACATTAAAAAATAAAATAAATAAAAGCAGGACACTAAACATCTTGTTGGAAGCTCATGTGCTTGGTGGAGACTTGTCAGCATGGGCCCTCACTACAGTGTGACCTGGCTGTGACGATGGGGGAGTCCCAGGTAGGTATCTTTAAGTCTCCTCTTGGGTTGGTCCAATTCCCAGGGGAGAATCTTTGACTCCTGTCTGGAGGGTCAAGCGTCACCGTGGCATATGGAGACTAGGAAGAGAAATGCATGTGTAGATGGGGACTACTTTCACTTGGGAAACCAGGCTGTGCTTGGTGTCCCTCAGTCCAGACACACTGTGCTTTGCCCTTTTCAGAGACTACATACCCAGACTTCTGCCATTGTAAAGGACAGGTGTTTCCTGGATGTAAGGAGATGGACAGAAAACCTGGTGGGTTCCGAATTGCTTTTAAAATAGATGATCAATCCATTTCCTGTTTTTAGACCCAGTATTTGTCTATACTTTTCAAGACACCTGTTACTAGTAGTTCCTGGGTTGGCTGTCAGAGTTCTCCTCTACTGGTTTAGGATTCTGCTTTCTCCTAAGACCCAGTTATTCATGGATCTGCTTCTCAGTTTGCAAACTCTGGCTGCCATTGTTAGGTACTGCTTTCCACGTTTTCAGGAGTTATCATGAATTTATATGTTATGGCATTCATTTGTTATCATTTTAGTGGGGTTCTGGGAGGTCGCAGAGGGAAATGCTTATGTTCACTTTGTTGTCTTTCACTGGGATTTCTCATACATCTTTCACTTCTACAATTGCGATGTGATTGTTTCCTAAATATATTCTATGCTTTTTATAGTTTCCAGTTCTCTGCTGAAACATTCAGACTCGCATTTTGGCTTTGTAAGCCTAAATAAGCATGTATATTTTTTCACAATCTGTGTCTCGTAATTGTAGTATCTGGAGTCCCTGTGGACTCATTTCTGTGATTTTTGCTGATGATCACTCATTCTGTCACCAGCTCATGTGATAGGTTATCTTTGATTATGTGCTGGACACTGTGGTTGAAAAATTATTTGTAGTAACATTTTTTAAACATTGAATAAGGTTATCATCCTCCAAAGAGGATTTGTCTGCCTTTTTCCAGGTGCATGGGAAAACCAGCAATTTGGAATCACCATAATTTGTTCTCAGATCTTGGGATTTTTCTAGCCTGCACATGTGTACCAGGGCTGGGCTACTTCTGGTTTTCCTTTAGTCCTCAGGATCCCAGGCTAAACTGAGGAGTGATGTCCTAGAGATAGCACCCTTGATGAGCCCCTTTGGGGCTCAGTCGATTAAGTGTCTGAGTCTTGATCTTGGGTCAGGTCATGATCTCATGGTTTCTGGGATTGAGCCCCATGTTGGGCTCTGCGCTGACAGCATGGAGCCTGCTTGGGATTCTATCTCTCCCTCTCCTTCTGCCCCTCCCCCACACACTCTCTCTGTCTCTTTCTCTCAAAGAAAATAAACTTAAAAAAAAAAGAAAGAAAAAAGAAATCTTTGCCTACTCCAAGGTCACAGAGATGTTCTTTCATGTTTTCTTCCTAACATTTTTGTTTCATTTTGTTTTACCTTTTACATTTGGGTTTGTAATTGGCTTTCTATATGGTGCGAAGTAGGAGTCAGGTTAATTTTTTCCACCATATCGTTATCCAATTCACTGAGCACCATTTATTGAAAAGAGACTATTTTTTTGTCTGCACTGGACTCATTGTCCTTGGGATAAGTCAGGGGACTGTATACTGGTGGGCTTCCTATGCTTTTAACAGGGCACTGTCACATCTGACGGTGTGCTTTGTGCCCAACACGAAGATGAGTCACTCATCTTGTTTTCTGTTGCTGGCAGGTGAAGCCGCTGGTTCCAAGGCCAGCACCATCTTTGTGCTGATCAATCTGCTGGAGCCCTCCAGGTCCCCACATAGATCCCCTCGCATAGGCGGTCAGTCCTTTGGGCCCAGTCCTTTCGAACAGGGCTTACAGAGCCCTTCACGGCTTGGTCCCTGTTTCTCTGTCCCTCCTCTGCTTTCCGTGTTCTGTTCTTCCAGACAACCTCACTTGCAGTCCTGTCCTACACTGTAGGCTGCCTGAGGCTCTCCTGGCCTCCCCCCAACCTAGATAACTGCTGGTTACTTTGCACATCTCCTCTCAATGCTACTGCCAGCAGGAGGCTTTTTCTGAGATGCCAGCCTGGAGTGTGGCCCCTCTGCAGTGCCTGAGTCACCTTGAGAATGTGCATTTCCTTATCACAGAACTTCCCCACTCTGTGCTGTAGTGGCCTCGCTGTCTTCCTCCCTGGACTTGTGGGCATTCCTGCAGGGCAGACCCTTATCCCCCCTGCCTTCCAGTGGCCTTAACTGCACCGGGCTGTTTCAGATGGCCTTGCCACCCCAGTCAGCCCTCCCACAATACTCCCAACAAACCACACCCTGCAGGGAACCAGGTCACACATCCTGCCCAGAAAGCTTCTATTTCTCTGGGGCCTCAGGAATGTGGCCAGAGGGGTTTCCCAGTGCACCCCCAGACCCCACAGGCCCATGGTAGGATGCCTCCCCACTCTACCCCCAGGATGCACTGGGCCTGGATGGATGACCCCCTGTGCACCCCAGAGTGTGCAGGGTCATGGTCACAGCCACTGCCCCATGGTCCCCCGGGACGAGCCAGGAGCTGTCAACATACCTGGCGTCCAGCCTCATTGTTGTGGCGGTTCATTGCAGAGCGGGCATCTGGCCGGTTCTCCCGTGCGTCTGCAAACTCCCGAGACACCATGCCACCGAACTCGATGTCCTCGCTGCAGCCGCCCCACTTCCAGCCCTCACCCGGGGAGCCCTGGTGGCGGCTGCTGCAGCCACAGATGGTGGCGGAGCCCTCAGCACAGGAGCGTGTCACGGCAAAGGCCACACCGGCAGAGGCAATGGCATGCACAAAGGCGGACTCCCGGGTGGCTGTGGAGAGAGGCAACAGGGTGGGCAGGACCTGGCAGGGCTGGGGTGGTGAAGCCGAGCCCTGGGCATCGCCGCCCCTTTCAGGGCAGGGCTCTGGGCACCTGGGGTGGACATGGGTGCTGGAGGCCAGGCAGGGCTGCAGGGGAGAGGGGTGCCCTGTGCATAGGACCCAAGGAGGAGGGTGGGTATTGGGAAAAAGTACTTGGAAGGCCTACGGGCCCCAGGAGAGATGCTGGACATCACTCCCCGCGAAGAGCCACAGGGACCCCTGTAATATGAAGGTCAGATCAGAGCCAGTGCTGGAGAGGATGTGCAGAATCTGAGCACTGTGCACTGCTGGGGAACTTGGTGCTGCATCTAGGAAAGCAGTTTGATGGCTTCTTGCAACCCTATGCGTACCAGGTGACCAGGCCACTCAGCTGGGTATTCACCCCTTGAGGAAATGAGGTGGTCACAGAGACCAGGGAGCAAACATCATGGCTACTTTATTTGTAATAGCCTCAACCTGGAAGCTTCCAAATGTCCATCAACAGGTGAATGGACAGAAAACTGTGGCACCAAATCAGTAAGTCCGGGGACATGATGCACCACACGGTGACTTGTCAGCAATACCGTGTTGTGTGCTTGAAACTTGCTAAGAGGTCTTACATGTTCCGGTCACAAGAGAAACAACTGTAACCAGGCTGTGCGTGATGCGTAGTCACCAGACAATCATTTTGGTGATCATTTTGCAGTATATACACGTGCATGTGGGGGTGGGCCCGACCTGGCCTTCCATGCCGGGCATGGGGCGTGTGCCCTGCTGTGTCCCCGCATCCATCCTGGGCAGCAGGCCTGGACGGTGCTGGGGCTCCCAATGGCTCCTGTCACGGTCACGGGGATGCTGCTGCCTCCTGACCCACATCAGTGCCCAGGGGACTTTGGTCCTGGGAGGGGGTTGGGCAGGGAGGCTTCACCCTGGGAGGGGGATGGGCAGGGGGGCTTTCGTCCCAGGAGGGGGATGGGTGGGGGGGACTTTACCCTGGGAGGGGGATGGGCGGGGGGGGGACTTTGGTCCTGGGAGGGGGATGGTGGGGGCTTCACCCTGGGGAACCAGCAGAGGCTGTAGGCTACCCCTCACTCTTCCTCAGGCTTGCCTGCCCCAAAGCCCAGGCAGGTGGAGGCAGGGGAGCAGTGAGGGTTCCAGCCAGGAGCATGCACACACTGAGACTCACTCAGCACCCAGCACACCTGTCACTGAAAATCCCACATTTATTCATCTGGCACTGCCCCCCCTTCCCTGTGAGTCCAGCTTTCAGCATCAGCCAGCTGCACCATCAGAGGCTCCTGGTTGGAACCTGCACTCCCAGCCTGCAGCTTCCCCCATCCACATGCATGTGCCACACGTGTTGCACACACACATACACACACACACACACACACACATGCACACGCATGCACAGCCATGCAGGCAAACACACATGCACATACGTATGCACACACGGGCTGTGCCTGGTCCCTTTGGAGTTCCTGGCCTTATGTCCTTGCTTCACCTGCACACAGGCCTCCCCCACACTTAGCCCTCGTCCTTCCCTCAGGCTATTTCCACTGCTCCTCTGGTCACGTGCACCTGCCCTGTCCCTTGTCTGCTCTTCAGGGTACGGGCCTTGCAGTCCCGGTGCGGTCGGTGCCTGGCCCAGGAAGCTCTCTCTTCAGTCCTCTCCCCAGCATGCAAGCTCCCTGGGGTGGGGGGCTGTGTTTCGTTCATTTTTGGTTTCCAATTCCTGTAGATGGTGGGTGGGGAGTGAGGCCTGGTCTAAGCAGAGGGCTGGGCTCTGGGATGGACGGGGAGGCCCAGCAGGGCCAGAGCCTACCCTGGACAGGCCTGTGCCATGAGACTGGATCTCCACCCCTGCCCACTCAGCATCCTTCCCTGCCCCTTTTCCCGACGGCCAGCCAGCGGCCACCTCCCCCAGATGCTTGATGCCTTGGCCTCACTTTGCTTCCATAATATGGCCAGCAGTTCTCGAGCAGGCATGGAGTGGCCTTCTATGGGCCCAAGGCACGGTGAATAAAGGCCAGTGTGCCCTGGTTGTAGACCCCCTGCCCTTCTGTCCCTGCACTCCAGCGGAGCCATGCCTTTGTTTTGCCTTCCCTGAGGGTGGGCTTGGCTCCTTGTGTCCTCACCCCTCCAGAACCCAGGCCTGGGGCTGCTCCTGCCCTCCAGGCAGGGCATGTGGGCTGCTGGGCCAGGCAGGTGTTTCCTAGGTATTCCTGGATCTCAGTGCACACAGCCGGGTGCCTTCCGCCCTCTTGCTGCTTCCAGCTGGCTGAGGGCCCCCGGTGGCCCTTCTCCAGCCCCTGGGTACCAACTCCTGCCCAGGGGGCCAGAACTGCTCCTCCTGGAGAACATGCCTCCCCTCCTCTGAGACAAGCAGAGAGCCAGCGAGCCTGGGGCCTTGCACCTTCCTTGAACAAGGGTGTGGCCGCTTAACAGGCTCAGGCAGAGGGGCCAGGAGGGGCCAGGTCACCAGACACACTCGAGGGGAAGGGCGTGCTCAGGGCAGGGGGAGGGGTCTCCCTTGAACTTGGAGGAAGAATTCAGTCCTGCCCTGCTCTCTCACCAGCTGGCTGTGTGACCCAGCCCTGGCCTCCCTTCCCTGTGGGCCTCAATCTCCCCTACCCAGTAAGGAAGGGGCTTGTCACACATGAGGTCCTGAAGGCTGACGCTACCTTGTAGCCTGCCTCCAACTTGTTCATGAGGAAAGGAAGCCTCTAAGGAGAGGCCACAAGACCATGGGAGCACAAGACCACAAGAAAACCATGAGAGCTTGTTCTGGCAAAGAGAGTCTGCTTAGAAACAGAAGTCACAGCCTCCAAGCACTTTGGGATGGCCGTGCCCTGACTTTGCAGATGCCTGGCCCACCCCACCTTACCTGAGGGGTTGGGGCTGCGGGGACCACAGCAGCGGACAGGTGGCTGACGCAATGTGCCTCCTGAGAAGATGCTCTAGGGACACCATGGAGGCCTTCTCAGCAAAGAATCAGGAAACGTCAGATAGATGCAAGAGGCCTGACCTGGTTCCTCCTAGTCTTGTGGGCACGAAGGGCCAGGGCCAGGCATACCCAGGATGGGATCCCAGATGGGTGGGAGAATGGGAGAAACCTGGGAGTGTAGTTATCATGGACGGATCTTTGTGCTGATGGATGCAGCTGGCTTTGTTAGCACTGGGGATGTCTGGGAGCGGACATGGACCCTGAACATCACTCTTGCCACATTTCTGTATGTCTACAATTCTTTCTAAAGAAAAAGTTAAAAGACATGCTGAGGTCATGGAGAAGGAAGACCCCAGCATGTCCAGGTGACACCTCACAGTAGCAGGGACATCTGACCCAGGGGTGTGGGATTAGGCTTCACTGGGGCAGGAATCACAGGGCATGCCGGAAAGTGTGTGTGTGTGTGTGTGTGTGTGTGTGTGTGTTGGATAGAGAGCCCATTGCTTTTATCAGATTTCCACAGGTCATGAGCCTACTGGCTGGAGTAGGAGGAGGTAGGACAGGGCTCCCCTGAGGCTGTGCGTGGGGAGGACACAGTGAGGACTCCGACCAGGGTCTGGAGCCCTGGCAGTCGCCCCAGTCACAGGAAAGTTCTTAGCCACTGACAGCTGCTTTGTCAGACGTTTCTGCTTCTGTTTACACAACAGAGGCAGCTAGGGAGTGGGAGGGGAGCCATCACACCGTGGGAAGGAAATCACATCTTTGGAATGAGATTGGAGACACCTCCATTATGTCACTGTCACTGGCAATGGGCTGCAGCAGGTCAAGAGAAGAAGAGGGGGCATAGGCCCCTGGGAGGGAAGCCAAAGGGCCAATGCTGCCAGTTTGCCAAGTCCCTGGGACAGAGCCTGCATGAGCCTTTGGAGCTGCTCAGGACTGCCCTGCTGGCCCCAGGATTCTTCTTCACACCCGTGAGATGGGCTCTGCCTCCCTGGGTCTCAGAACTTCAGGACTATACCCATCTTGCTTCCAGACTCGGATTTCACAGGCTGGTCAAATACCAGAGATCATTTGAGGATTGAATTAGGACTGCCAAGGCTTGTTGCTTTTCCATGAGAGTATAAGATATGTGAAAAATGACTATCATAATTTTGGAGGTGAGGTCAGGGTTGGAAAAAGGAAGAAGAAAGGGAATTTAGTGGCAAAGTCATTCTGTGAGTTAAGCATCCTCCATGCGGAAAACCATCTTTGCCAGAAATTTGCCATTGTTTCATTACTAATTAGTTACGGAGTTCATGCAAAGTATCAATGATCTATTCTTCCTTCCATTCATCTACCATCTATCCATTTATCCATCCATCCATTCATCCATCCATCCATCCATCCATCTGTCCATCCATCCACTATCCATGTATCCATCCACCATCCATTTATCCATCCATCCACCCATCCACCATCAATTTATCCATCAAACCATCCATCCATCCATCCATCCATCCATCCATTTATCCATTCTTCCACCCATCCACTATCCATGTATCCATCCACCATCCATTTATCTATCCATCCACCCATCCACCATCAATTTATCCATCCATCCTCCATCCATCCACCATCAATTTATCCATCAAACCATCCATCCATCCATCCATCTGACATCCATCCATCCATCCAACCATCTATTCACCCATCCAGCATCCATGTATACATACATCAAAACATCCATCCATCCATCACCATCCATTTATTCATCCATCCACCATCAATTTATTCATCAAATCATCCATCCATCCATCCATCCATCTATCCACCATCCTTCCATCCATCCATCCATCCATCCGTCCATCCACCATCCTTCCATCCATCCATCCATCCATCCATCCAACCAGCCAGCAAGCCATTTACCCCTCCAGGATCTGAGAGTCTATAAGAAGCTACACACTAGGCTCAGAACTAGGAATATGAGGTGAGTAAGATGTAAGGTGCCCATTCTCAAGAACCATGGTAAGAAATCTGTAAGATAGT